TCCAAAGCTCTATAAACTTAACTGTATCCATCTACTAACTTCTCACCTTATGCTCCTTGACTCATTTCTACTCCTTAATACCGCCCTCACGCGCGCCCCGATACTTCTCCAAACACCTATTCCAAAATAATAGCCCTTGCTCCTATAAGCCGATCCGCCGGTCCGGCTTACGCACCGCCCTTAACCCACGTTCTCGTTCTCACCCTTCTTTATCAGTGGGAGCCACGTTTCTTTTCTCGGGCACTTTGGGGCGGGGGATGCCCCGCGTCGGCGGGAAAAATTCGGGGGCGTTTTTTTTTTTGTTTTTTAAAGAAAGGGGGGGGGGGGGGGGGGGGTGGTTGAAGGGCGTTTGTGGCGAGAGAGGGGATGGGTATAGTGAGCTGAGACGAGACTGACCTCTTTCGAGCCGCGGCCAAACCCGGAAATGACCTTGCCCTCCATCTTGAGGGGGTAGGGAGCCTCTGGGCCTCCATCGGGACCTACGATGCGAGGACGCCCTTCCGTGACGCCTGTGTCTGTCATGATGATGAGGTGTTGATGAGGGTCGGCAGCGATGAGTGGTACAGGAATGTCCGAGAAGTAAGGCAGGAGGCGTTTTCGTAACCCCCGAGTGGTGAGACTGGTGTTGCGTGGGACTGAGTGTCTCGGGGTCGGTTTGAGGCGTAAGGCAGACGAGGACCGGCCTGTGGATGTGATGGAGGGGCGAAAGATGAGGCTATCGTAGGATGAGATTTGGAGAGTGAGACTCTTATGCCGTGGAGGGGTCGCGCTGGTCGAAGGAGGGGCACATCTGACTAATGCGAAGCTGATAGCTAACCCTAACCCGATGACGTCATTCGCATCGGGATGCGCATCTGTTGAAGGGCGAGGCCAGCAAGAGCATCTATTTTCTATGGCCGTTGATGATCAACATAAGCGTTCTTGATTGAAATGATCTGATCCAGTCAAATCAAGCATCAATTCTTGGCACACAAGATGCCATAACTGAGCGGATTGAAATTGGCCTGGATCACATGCTCTCACTCAGTGACGACAAGGTGTAAGCACTTGATCGCTACGATTGGTGCCAGCAAGAAGCGAGCTGACCATTGGCAACCACTTAGCAGATAATGAGGCTTGTCCATTTGAACATAAACAGGCTGTCAGCAGGTCTCGTGTGTCTGCTTTCTTTTTGTCATTTATGCGTTTTTGTGCCTCAAGGGGAGCAAAGAAGCTGGTAATGTCTCGCTCGCCAACCCGCCGGTGAGACGCAATTGGCCATCATTACTTTGTTGCGTTGTTCTTAACAAGCATCATGGCACTTTCAGTATACCAAACATTCTTTTTGGTTCTCATCTTCCTATACGTTTTCATCCTGATGTCCATTACTGTAAGATGTCCCGGAGCATGAACAGCTAGCTTGAACTGACTGACCCGTGACAGTGGCCACTGCTTCGAACCATATGCAGCTTTTGGCATTCCAAGCTTGCCAGGGCGGGGTTACTTTCGCCTCGGGCAACTCCTAAGCTCTTGCCCCGGCTCTTCTATCGACAACGAAGCTCGATGTACGATGTTGAACAGCAACCGGTGGTCAACTGCCACTAATCCGATGACGGTACAATCCGCTTCATCCTGGATGGAATATCCTTTCGATACTCATCTAGTCAGACGGGTCAGTCGCGTTCAAGCTTCGCAACGCACTTCATGTCGGTTCTCAACACGGGATGGACTTCATCTACCACGGCGACGATCATTCGGAGCTCGAATGGAGGGAAGCTTAGGAAAAGCGAGCTGCATGCATGAACCACAAGGCAATGCTCGTGAATTAACGCCCTCGGATGAATCACGTGTCATGCTGATCTCCCAGAACAGTATTTGACTGTTCAACAACATGCAATAGGGGTAATGATTGGTATCTCGCGCAAGGAATAAGAAAGATCAGTCAACCGAAACACAACCAGTGTCCGAGAAAGAAGAGACAGTCGCTCCGTGCCCTCAAGCCGCCCCGTGCCCTTAAGCAGTGGCAGCAGGCTTCTCGGCCGGGTCCTTCCACTCGGTGCGGCCGAGCCGCACGATATCCGCCGACTCGAGGACCCAGTACTTGTCGGGCGCGCCGCCCTCGGCGGCGATCTGGGCGGCGCGGACAGCAGCGCGGGCGATGACGTCGTGCTCCTGGCCAACGGCATCCTGCACGCCCTGGCCGAAGAAGCTCAGCGACCGCACGGCGGCGTTGAGGAGGCGGCCGCCGGTCTGGGGCGTCTCGCGGGTGCCGAGGATGGCGCCGGGCCGCACGACGACGGCGTGGTCGAAGCCGGCGTCGCGCAGGGCGTCCTCGACGCCAATCTTCATCTTGCTGTAGGGGGCGCGGGAGCCGACGAGGCCGCGGGTGCCGGCGCTGCTGATGAAGACGAAGGTCTTGACGCCGGCGGCCTTGGCGGCGCGGAGGAGCTCGACGTTGAGGTCGTGGTCGATCTTCCACTGGTTGGCCCAGCCGCCGGCGGCGGCGCGCGTGGTGCCGAGGCCGGAGAGGACGGTGTGCGGCGTCGGCGTGACGGCGGTGAGCTTGGCGGCCCAGGCGGTCGTGTCGGGCTCGACGATGGCGTTGAGGTTGGGCGTGCCGGTGGGATTGGGGGGCGCGCGGCGGGAGATGGTCGTCGTCTTGATGCTCGTGGTCGTGAGGAGCGTGGCGAGGATCTGGGAGCCGACGAGGCCGGTGCTGCCGATGACGGCGGCGGAGGTGAAGGGGGCAGACATTGTGGCGGAGTTCTGGCCGAGTTGTACACAAGGATCGCAGTTGTTTGATGGTCTTTGATGGTGAGGGGCTCGTTCGAAGGCTGCTGCTCGGGAAATGTCGAGGGATGAGTTGAAGTGCTGGACGACCGCCGGCAGTTCCGCTCTCATGATACAGTCTAGTTTCGGGGTTAAGATTGGGGGTCCTGGGAGCGGCGGCACCCCATTATATCCGACCATGGCGCAAGACCCCAGGGTCTTGCGCCATGATGTCAGTCGGCGACGGGAACATGCCCTGAAGGGCCCGTCGGACGATCAGATCTGGCAGTGCACAGGCATTTGAGCAGTCATGTCCCCTGTAAGGCACCTGTAAGGCAGGTGAGTATTGGATCTGTCTAAAGAGCACACGTTTGGCTGACGAGCACGTGAATTAGCCCGTACCCCGTCATTGCCTGGGCCCCAGGATGAAGAGACAGGCCTAGAGATAACCGTTTACTCTGGCAGCAAACCCCGAAAACCTTGAACTACTGTTAAAATGCAAGTGCTTGTAGAGACTTTAGGGGTGTATCTGAATTGTGTGGGCAATACTAGTCAAGCGGATGGCCCCCTCGCCAATTGATACATGGCCGTTGATCACACGAGCACAGCGGTGCATGCTTCTAGGCTGCCATGTCCATCGTGCACTCAACACCAGCGACAACCATGACACCATGTTCATCATTGATGCAAAGGGAGACTTGAAACTCAACAGCCAACCATGGGAACACGCAATGATTCAGGCAGAAGGACGCGTGGTTCTGAAGCACCCATCTTCCATGTTGGCTGACCCCAATCAGAAGAACCCCAGGCCAATGATGGTGGATCGGTCACAGAGGCAGGCGGGGTACATGTACAGTAAGTACCTACGGCCCTTAGGGTACATGTACAGTAGGTACCCAAGGCACCTTAGCTTACATGTAGCTCCCAAAGCTCAGGATTGCGACGGAAGCACTGCCTGGAGCCTCGCTCATCAACCTCAACACCACACATCAACTCGACGCGCTTGACCGACAACCTCGGAACCTCAAGCAATTTATATCCCTCATCGCAAGCGAAAGCCCATTTCTTGTCCATCGGACTTCAACCGCAACCATGGCGACGCAATACGAAGGTAAAGCCCATCCCCGCCCTTCCACCACCAGTGACTGATCATGCCCCTCACAACCACAGTCGAGCACAACATCAAACCGCCGCGCCAGCACGCAAACTACCGCCGCGTCGACATGTCCACCTTTGACGCCTTCCTCCACCAGATGCACACGAACCCCTCCTCGTCCTCGACGCCGCACAACAACCCCCACGCGACCCCGACCCCCGTCGACGCCGCCTCCCTCTTCACCCTCCTGCAGCAGCAGTTCCAGACCCTGCACGCGACCGCCCCCTCGACCGCCAACGCCTCCTTCCTCGAGTCCCTCGTCGAAGCCCTCGCCGCCGACATTGACCAGCCCCCCGTCGAGATCCCCGGCGTCGGCCAGTCCTACCTCGACGCCCTCGACCGCGTCAACCGCAAGACCCTCGCCCAGGACGAGCAGTGCCCCATCTGCGCCGAGCGCTTCCTCGACGACCCGTACTGTCTCGTCGTCGAGCTGCCGTGCCACCACAGCCACCGCTTCGACCTCGAGTGCGTCGGGCCCTGGCTCATGGCCAAGGGGAGCTGTCCCATGTGTCGCAAGGACTTGACCAAGAAGAAGGAGGTGCCGGTCGTGCAGGACGATGAGGAGGATGACGACCCCGACGGGCTGTATGCGTGAGCGCTCCGAAATGAGACAAGGCAAAAGCACGGTGGGCGGGGTATGACGGGCGGAGCACGGCGGGCGGGCTATGACGGGCGGAGCACGGCGGGCGGGCTATGACGGGCGGAGCACGGCGTAGCGTGGTTGGCAAGGCTGGGTACATACACGGCGGAACGCAGCGGCGACGAATGCTATCATGTTCATCTTCTCCTGCCTTCTCCTTCCGACTAGGAGGTCCCCCCGTCCGCCATGTCCTATCCAAAGACGCACTCACAAGCCCACTCACAAGCCCATCCCCTCCGGTCCAAAGACACAAACCTAGGCCGCGCCATCCCCCTTCTTCTCGGGACTCCCCCCGCTGCTGGCGCCCCCCTTCCTAACCTCCCGCGGCTTCTCCTGCCCGCTCCTCTCGTCCCCCCTCGGCTTCGACACCTCCTGCGACGCCCCGCTGACGTCGAGCTCCTCGTTCCCCTGGCGCCTGTTCGCCTCCTTGGCGCCCTCGGGCGACGTCACCGACGGGTCGAACGCCGACTCGAGGTTGCCCGTGTCCGAGTCGCGCCCCGACTTGGTGCCCTCTGTGCCGCCGGGCTTGAGCGACTCGCGGTCCTGCGTGTCCTTGTACGCTGCGCGCCGAGACGTCGTGTGCAGCGGCCGTGCTGTTGCTGCTGCGGCTGCCGTGGCGGCGGCGAGGGGTGTCTGCCGCATGGCAAGACGGGCTGCCGGTTGGAGGCGAAGCATGGTGCGCACCTGGGAGGTCATGCTGATATGTCGAGGTATACTGCTTTTTGATGCTGTTGAGATGTGTTTCGTGGGCTCTGCCGTAAACAGAAGCGTTGAGTTTCTGCAGCGAATTGACGTGCTGTTTTTGCAATACTGTAGTTGTAGACGGATGTATGATGAGATGAGAGCTTGTCGCAGCTCGCGAGCTTCGTGGTAGGTCAATTGGTTGTTACGCTGGCGTGACGTCACCATGTTGAAGGCTCCCGGAGCGTTTTCTCCCTTGTGGAAGACCTCCACATCAGTCGAGGACATCGAGTCAAAGCTTAGACTTTTATTTTAGAGTCCATCTCATTACTGGGGAATGTTGTGCAGGTACGTCTGCCTATACCACGTCTGCTTGTAGGGGGTTTGTGATGGCCCGTGGCAGTACCTCACAACACTCGAAGCTCTTTAACTTTACAATGGGTAAGACTAGCCGTCTTTAAGATGACCCGTTCCACACCATGCATGGGCAGTCATTCATGAGATAAGATCAACTAATGTGTACCAACTGGAGTCTCGAGTCGAGGCGTGGTTCGAGGATGTGGCGTGTTGGTGAAGGTGATGGTAACCCACGATTTAAAACCGATATCGGCAGCTAGAACGAGAAGCCTGGCTCTTGACCAGATGATCATTTCATCAACTAATATCACGGTAAACTTCATGATGAATAATTATACTTCATGAAACCTCAATCTATTCGTAATGAGACACACAGAGCCAAAGCTGACGCTCCTGTTGCCTTTGTTGATCACGCGCTTGCCAACGATTTTGCCTCCTCTTCCTGTACCATCCAGCCAATCGGGGGTAGATAAACACATTCTTGGCGGTTGGATAAAACAATCATTGGGTTCTCGAAGAGTTCATCCAGGCTATACACATTATGACAACCACTTCAGGTGAACGTCAGGCAACATAACACGAACTTGAAGTACCTAGTGCGATCTCCCGCACAGAGCTCGATGCATCTAAGCTGAGAGTCCCATCAGATAGCTGTGCTCATGAAGCTGAGAGGTGACTTCAAATAGGCTCCGGAACAGGCGGCCATGCTGCTAGTCTCAGACGCTACTGAGGTTTGAGTTCTAGCAAATCCAGGCATGTTACAGAAAACTGACTGATTGGACTGTATGCTCCGCATTTGAACAGCGTTTGACAGACATGTACCTTCCTTCGGTTGAATCATTGTAGCTATACAACTCCGAGTCCCAAGATGAATCCGCAGGTACGGTAGTGAGTGTTGGTTGCACACGTCAACACCAGGTTGGGAACGATCCCGTAAACGGTGAACCCCATAAACAGGTCAAAAAAGAGCGTGAACGGGCTGCGAAGGATCCTGAAGGGAAACGGTAATGATCCTCATCGAGATGCCCTCTGAAGTCTATTCTTCTGCTCGACAGCTGACTCGAATTTTCTGCTCAGTAAGACTCGGCCCATTGGGTTTCTTGGCCGCCGCTGACATCGGTGGCAACATTGGGCTCTGGTCTCGCAAGTTCCAACCAGCGTTCCGCAGTTGCGGTGAAGACCTACGGATGCTACTATTCTTACTTCTTTTGGCCCGCTGAGAACTCATCCGCATATTCAGGTCGGCAATCAGATCAGATTAGCTTGTTTCTGCTGATCCTATCCTTGAGAGTGACTGCCGGAAGTTGTCGACTCATCGAATAGCTCGCTAAGCTACAGCTGAGAACCAACATCATTCGCTGCCTGCTCCAGGGCTGAGACGTCGCCTCAACAATGAGCTGGGCACGTTGCGCAATTCTATTCGAGTGAGACCAGACCGCCCTGCTCCTATCCTCCATCAGACCGAGTCATTTAAACTTCGGTGGCACTTACCAGGCCGTCCGAAGCGAGTCTTCTCAGCTGGGGGTTCAGAAAGGAGGTTCAACTGTGCCTATGCCGTTGCTGCATTGATGCTATGCGTCAAGATAAGATTTGTCTGTGGTTCCTCATGGGGCTTTTTGCTTTTGACAAGCGGAGCGGGTGGCTGGCTGGGCGGCTGCATAAAAAGGGTCTAATCACACCGGTGGCAGAAGCAAGACAGGTAAAGGCCTAACTTTCCAGCCCTGCCCAACCGGCATCGAGATCAGAGCATTCGGGAGGTTGAAGCCGCCGTTAAGGTTTGTACGATAGTTAATGTGACAGTATTGTACATTGTTGTCGATTTCAAGGCCTCAGTGTGAAAACCGACGCGCAATTACCTATAGTGTTCAAGACAGAATCAACCCCTAAAAGCACAACATCGTCTTCGCGATGTTGTGCTCGGCAGGATCAACGACACCATCCGTGCACGCCGCCCTAAGACATCTCGGACTGATCTCGACAAGTGATTCAAAGTTGTCCCCATACATTGGCAGAAATAAGGCCGCTAGGGGCAATCCCGGTCTCAGAACAATCAATTCTGTGCCGCGTAACGTGCATCCCTGAGTCGGACCCACGCGGCTCGCGACCCTTTTTGCCAACGACGCCAAACTTTTCAGGAGTCGTGAACGGCAGTTGCGGGGAACACGGCAGAAACGAGGGACGGTGAGATGAAGGACTGCCATATCGAGAGCTCATATTGCTTTTCCTCACTGCCGTTGAGCGGAGTCCGCGGGTGACACTCGCTCTCCCTGAACGCTCCCTTGGCCATGAACACGGCGAGATATTGAGACCTCACGAAGGTGAAGAAGATGGCATCGAACTGATATATAAAGTCGGTGGCCATGCCAGGTCTAGAGCTCTCTTTCCTCATCAGCCTCAGCATCTCTCACATCATCAACCATCACTCCTCTTCACCACAACTCTCAAACCAAAACCCTCCCTCACCAACACCACCTTTCAAAATGAAGTCCTTCACTGCCATCGTCGCCCTCTTCGCCGGCCTCGCCATGGCCACCCCCGCCACCCTCGACACCCGCGGCTCCGTCTGCTCCGGCCTGTACGGCAACCCCCAGTGCTGCGCCACCGATGTCCTCGGCGTCGCCAGCCTCGACTGCCAGAACCGTAAGTCTCCTCATCCACTGCCAGGAATCTCATCTCTTCCTTCATATACCGGCCTGCTTCGACAACGTTATCAACAAAGACTGACCGTGACTGCAATCAAAACAGCCAAGAGCGCCAACAACGCCAACGACTTCAAGCAGAGCTGCGCCTCCACCGGCAAGTCGGCCTTCTGCTGCACCCTCCCCGTCGCCGGCCAGGCCGTCCTCTGCAACAAGCCCGTCGGCGTCTAAGTACCAGCCCGGCTGTGAGATACGTGCACCGCGCCTATTCGCGGGGCATTGCACACATATCTTCTTCAAGTACATCACGGGACATTAGTTATTCGGCTTTGCAGCCGCTACCATATATCATCTGAGTTGACATATTCCTCACTACGAAAATTCCTCTATCCTGCATTGTGATTGACATGTGACTACCTGTTGTGGACAATCTTCAAGCATCCGAGGTCTCTAATCACGCGATTAACTCAATCTGATTATGAACTGACCGCTATAGCATTGTCGGGTGAGCCTGCGGAGCTACTAAACAGGGGGCCGGTCAGGGGCTAAGAGTTACGAGAACGTGTATATAAGGAGCTGCGGAGGGCCCTCCAAGCTGCGAAGGGCCAGACTTCAGATGTGTTCCGACCCCCTACCTATATTGTATTGCCTGCGGACTACGTGTGGAAGACCTCTTCACTCTGCTCCATTCAAGCACTGCCAAGCATCACCAATTGACAGTGTTTCGAAGGACAACAGTCGTTCGTGGTGTCAGTCTGATGATCATTAGAGGCAAACTTCAGCCCCGAACCAATGTCTTATTCCTATTACTCTCTACCCAGCCAAGACTCAATACACTAACCGACCTTGCTGCGCCCCAACTCTCCGGCAAAGTCAATGTTCAACGCGGAGGAGATGAGGGAGTAGTCTAATAGCACAGCGGCGTGCCAGAGACGACGCCAGAAATGCCGAAGCGGTGACTGCGCATCTCCAACGAATACAGTCCGTGATGAGTGACACCGTAGGCCCGGACGCTGAGACTACCACCACCGACTACACTGCCCAGACTAGTGACACCGCCGACGCGAAGGGGACCACCGCACGCAGAGTACCAACGAAGAAGGGCAGGGCCAAGGCTAAGCGTCTCGCAATTCTGCCAAACGACCCGTGGATTCAACGCCGCCAACTTCAATATGGAAAATCCTGTTCCTTCTGAGCCCCGGTATCCCGATACACCAGTCTTCAGCAACGACAGTAGACCATAGATCCGGCTCGAGCTGCAACGGCACGAATGCAACGTGGGAAATCGCATCGATAGGGCAGTCAACGAATCCCAGCAACTCCGGGCAAAAGGCATCCCAGCGACTACTTTGTTTTCTCGCAGATTTATGACAAATAACAGGGTGTCATGCCCCTATCATGGTACATGGTAGTAGATGCACACACCAACCATTCCGTGCCCCCAAGTGAGGTCTGACAATTCACCATGACAGGTAGCGAGCGTTCCGATAGTCATGCCGGGTACCCTCAAACTTGCCTTCTACGAGCTCGTCCACACGGCGATTCTCATCGAATACGAGACGTGTATATGATTACAAGAAATGCACAACCTAGCCACCATCCAAGTCGTGCCGGAAGGTTAGACTGTGAACTTGCGCATGCATGTTATGTTGAGTTGATGCTAGTTTGGCCAGCAGCTTGCCCTCGTCCATTCATATGGGTAGGAAGTACAGAGACTTGATGCAAGGATGTGTGTGCCATTGATGCAGGTCAAATCTTTCTTCATCACTTACAAGCTGCTTACTCGTGGAGGCAGACTTGCCGTCAACATAAGCGACTATAGACAAGAGACAGCATTCTTGACCCAGCCGAGCCTTGGGACCTAAAGATTGCCCGCGACAGGACGCCCAGTCACTTTATTTTCTTGAACTATGAGATGGAATCGTGCGTCCATTCGAGTCATTTCCCTCGATATCCGTCACTTGGGCTGGCCCCGAGTACCCGCAACATACTTCAGCTTGTCAACCAATGACTTGTTTTAATATCGGCGGTGTGTCTCACGTTGTTTAAGCATCGCAAAGCTCTGACGTGAGGATAGCCTTTAAGGTTGGGAATTACCCATGCAGCGGAGCCTTGTATCACCATAGGTCGCAGTATTACCCACCAGCGTGAAGGTTGAGCTTCGAAGTCTCTTGCAAGGACGGGAGCGTGCCGAACCCGTGGCAGCTTTTGGCTGTTACGAAGCAACACAAGCGCAAGACGACCGCATACTAATCCGGCACACAGACCTGACCGAACCGATGGCCCTCCCCTGCGCGAACGCGGATAGTATCGAGCCTCTGAATCGTGTCAATCTTGCACTTTGAGATTGCGTGTGCTGGTGGTGCTCGGTTGCAGAATTAAGCCCGAAGAGGCGTTGTGCAGACAGTATCGTAATGACACACACACGCGATGCGATGTTGCAGCCATGACGGGGAAAGTCAACAGCAAAGATCGAATCGGACTTGCCGACCGTTCACGCTTTGAGCATCTGTTGGCCTATCTGATGTCTGGACAGCTGACGGCGAACGGTGAATGTAACCACGGTGGTTTTGACTCTTCCCTGGCAGGCCGTGTTAGTGAGCCTCGAGTACACGCCGATCTCTCAAGGCTATGCACAGAGATAAGATGCAGGGATGAAGATTGAATATCATTTCTGCAGTATGCGACAATGGCAGCGAGATGTAGGGACGTTGTAGAATGCCAGATCAGTACGGATGTGCACGACGGTGTCGCGGTGTCGCCAACCAGCCATGCATGAAGCACGTGAAAAACCTTCCAGTCACCTCTGCGCGTTGGTCTCGAAGACCCATGCACAGCTTTCGGTACCATCGCTGAGCCCTGTCATTCGTAGAGGACAGGTGTACGGGTTGGAGGAGGATTGTGATCAGCAAACATTGACATTTGCCCAGACCTCGCTTTTCCCAGAGTAGAGCCTGAACCGGATGAACTCTCGTAATGTCAGATGAGGAGCGGACGACGCGTCTATGTTTGGGGCTGGTCGCGTGCGTCGTCATTGGGCATGGCCGTAGGATGGACGGACCTTCTCGAAGAATCCCAATAATCCTTTGGAACTTTCGGAACTTTACAGCTGCATCCCCAACACGTGGCGCCAACTTAGGCGTCGTTGTGTTTGCTAGGGTCTGTGGAACGCAGACGAGAAGCTGGCTGCTGTCGCAAATCATGTCGCGCCTCACCTGTGGAATGTCCAAGATGCAACCAGCGACGGCGAGCCCGAGATATCAAACATGCGATGATGCTCAGTGTTGCGAACTGCGAAAAGTGGCTGATACGGCGAGGATGCATTGTAGGCACAATGCACGTGAGCGCTTGAAACCGAGAGCCCGTGTTTGAGTTGAGGGTCGCATCATTTGAAGCCAGTCAGACTCGCACTTTGTACGGGGCGGGAGATGAGCAGGCCTGGGTAATGTGAGACGTGCGTTTGCTGAAACAAATTGCGGCTGCAAGGGCGGATATTATGCTTTTGGTGCTTCATCAGACATTTATTGTGCTGCAGCATGTGGCCAGCCCAGCGTCAGCTCCGATGCAGCCATTGCTTCTTGCAGAATAGGGGTTCTGTTATGCTGCAATGCAAGATGGAAGGGGCAAAGGGTCGCCAAGGTGTTGCATCGCCGCCCACCGACGCTGGCCGCAGAATCGCTAATCTGGCACGGAATCGGCAAACGCAGCGAGATCTCGTATTATTCCAAACGGGACACGCGGGTAGGGATACATGTGGAAGGCTTCCAGAAGGCAGCCCGAGTGGCACATTGTGGCACGGTGGGCTTTTGCCGACGCCGTCGGTATGGTATGGCGGGCGTGTTGTGCGGATACGCAGACGATGAGCGCCACTAGAGCAAAATGCTCGGTCGTGTTGGCCTTTGTTGCGGATGTTCGATGGAGCACTGGACGAACAAATCAACGAGGACGACTTAGGCCTGGTCAGCCCTGAAAAGGCTGGATGGGGACTGCAGACGCCTGATTTGGTGGTACTCCATTGCATCATGCAAAAACCGAGTCGTACGCGTATGCTCTCGCTCCGCTTCGAAAAGGCCAGCGACATGGCTGAACTCACGTCATGAGTCTTCATCCAGGACGGCCGCCCGAACTGGAAGAATTTCGTGCGTCAAGTGGAGGCTTTTCATGGGACAGCCGAATGACTAGTGCTTGACGTGTGGTGTCCAAGCGGAGAAGCCTGGATGAGTCGGGCAACATGAATCGTAATAAATCGGCCGGCGTCGTCCTCTTGATGGAGGGGGAATCCCGCTCTGGGCCGCGTCTCCGTTTGATGTTGGTCGGTGGTGCCATCTCGTCGATCTCAGACAAATGGCCAGAGCCGCCTTAGTCGCAGGAGTAGGGCGAGAAGAGGCGACAAGCAATGGATGAGGCACAGAAGGAACGGCGACAGGGAGAGGGAGAGAGGCCACTGAAAGCCGCGTGGTTCGATAAACACACGTGGAGAACAAGGGTGAGGAGGGTCCTATTGGATGTCGCAAGCGATGGGCAAGATGCAGAAGCAATAGGTCCCTTAGGTATCTGTTGGTCGGCAGCTAGCCGTCTTTGATCGTCTCCAGTTTACAAACGGGCTTTTCAGCTGATAATGCGGGCAGTCGAGAAGCCTTTCCCTCTGGGTCCCAAAGGGGTTTGTGTCCCCGTCACTAGGGGTTAGCACGCAATGCATGGGCTGCATGGGCTGCATAGGGCGCTGGCGCTTGGACGCCTTTCCCCAAACCAGCGCTGCGGCTCCTGGAAGCCCCAGGTGCTTGTAGCACTTGGTGAGAGAGGATCAAAGTAAACGAGATGGGCGAGCTTCCACCGGAGCCAGCCGTAGCAGTAGTGTTCCAAGAGTCTGGATAAGTAGCCCGGATTGATCTTGCCAAGTGACACGGCATTTGGCGTTGAGAAAGGGACCGGCGTCTATCTGGCTCAATTGGCGGGGACGCTCCAGAACGCCAAGGGTTGGATATGGATGCAAACCTTAGGATCTGTAGTCTCGTTGCGTGTAGTGGAGATCTTTGCCGACCTCCTCACAGGCAGAGGTATCGAATCTGAGTGCGACGTGCCTCTCATGTCGGAGGGGCTGTAGCCGGGCCTTTCCAAGGCACCATACGCTTGCGAGAGCTGATCGAGGTTGATCAGAGCCGATGCTGGGCAATCACGGATGGGCGAGATAGGCTGGCCGATGCCCGTTGACATGGACAGACTTGACAATGGGAATGAGATGCGGTTGGTGGATAATGCAGATTTGGGGAGAGAAGACCAATCTCCTCCTCGGCCCTGCATGCGCAGGACCAAGCTCAAAGCCCGGAGGCTGTGGGAGAATGTAGAATGCAATCAATTGATCAATCTGCGCTTGACCTTTCATCTCGCTGTAGGCTGGTCAGTGTGGCAGGAGGTATCAATCAGGAGGCAGGCACGAAGTACGAAGCAGGAGGCGCGAAGCACGAGGCAGGAGGCAGGCTCATCAAGGAAGTACCTAGATAGGGAGGCACGAGGCAAGAGACGGGAAGGTGAACCTTGTTAGTCGACGCCCACCCACCCATATGTACCTCTCTACCTGTCGGTACCTGCCACACCAGTAACACGAGCCAGAGACAGGTGCGGCGTGCCGCCCATGTGGATGAGGCAGCAGGAAGGCGCAACCCCATTCTAACCCACGCCTGTCCACTGATTGCCAGGCGTCCACATGAGCCATTGGCCAGCGCGCGGCCTTTGCCTCCCCGTTTTGGTCTCTGCCGTCGCAGCTAGCTGACGGGCGCTCCGACGGTCTCCAGACTCTTCTTACTCTCCCTCTCTCTGTTCCTCGGCAAGGTACCTACCGTACACGCCACGTAGGCGTCCCTCTGAGTCTCCATTCCCAAGTCGTTATGTCGCCCTAGAACAACTTAACTCACCCACTAAAAAAATGGATCACGATCACCGTCGACTCAGTGGGATCAATTCGTCTTTTTTTTCCCTTGCCCCCCTGGCCCATCCATTGCCCCGTTCTCCAAACCCTCTTTCTTCCCAGACGCCGCCCAAGCCGCCGGGAAACACGCCCTTCTCCATCACCAACCTATCACCTTGGCCCTCTCTTCTGGAAGCTTTCTCCCGTCTGCTGCCCGCCACCAATGCGCATCATCTCTTGACCACGACGCCTGAAACCTGTCACTTTGTCCCCTTTGTCTTCCGAGACGCCACCGTCATCCCCCCCTTTTCCTCCGAAATCGATTCCTGTCAGCCGGCCAATTTACCATACCTGGCCGTCTATCAACCGAATCAACCACTGGGGCCCGACCATCAGGCTCTGCACCGTGCTACTGTCCCAGCCGGTACACTGCTTTGTGAAACCACCCCTGTCCCCTGTCATACAAGCCTGCCGGTTCCCACCCTACCACCCTGCCACCCTGCTACCCCCCTCAACCCCCCTCCACCTGCAAGCGTGAGGTCGGCGTGGGAACATTGGAGGTACGACACATTACCGAGCTTCCAAGGCTCCATTCTAATTCCCTATCAAGGAGACAGCCACCGAACGCACGCCCACGAGAAAGAGAGAGAGAGAGAGAGTGGGTGATGAAATAAAATAAGGCACAATCAACTTGGACTGCCTATCTACGATATCCATGGTCGATGGCGCCGCCGACGCTACGACCATATAGCACACGTCGCCCTTCCCTTAACATGGCGCTTCATCTTGCTGCCGCCTGCTTCGTCTTTCTTTCGTCCTTCGTCCTTCGCCCCTCGCCCCCTCGCCTCTTTCGTCTCTAGTCCCCTATCGACTCTCCATATTTCGCCTCGCTATTCGCTTTTCTTGCGAGCCAGCCTTTCAACTGCTCTGCGGATCTTGTTTCTCCAACGCCCGCAATAAACCCCGATCATCCTCCTACCAGGTCGGCCACCCGAACCTAGCCTGCTTTAGTGTGCTTTGGCCCATCGTTTCTGATCTTCTCACCCCGGCCGTTTATTGTTCACGCCCACGCCGTCACTCGAAGCAATTGGACCCTGCTCCGCACTCTCCCATCCCCTGTCAAGGCCCGAACCAGCTGACTGCGACGACTCCACTCCCTGCTTTCGACTTCCACTCCACTTCGTCTTCTGCTCGCCCCTTCCATCTCGACACCGACTTCCTTGGACGATGCTGTTCAATTGATCTCGAATACGCCCTGCCCTATGATCGAACCCGAAGAACCCAGGCCACTACCGATACCGACAAGAGCACGCGCGAAAGTCCCCCATAGCTCGCCATGGGCAACAGTCAGGGCAAGCCCGTCGACATGGACGGCGAAGGTACGCAGATTCTCGCAAACCCCCCCTCCCCCTCATTCTTTGCCACTGCAGAGAGGCTGACTTTGGTGCTCTCTTCCTGGTCGACAGTGAACCTCAACCACTTCCGTCTTCTTCGAGTCGTCGGTCGAGGCGCCTTCGGCAAGGTGCGCATCGTCGAGAGGAAGGATACGAACCTATCATTCGCGCTGAAATACATTCGGAAAGACGAAGGTACGGCACCCTGCCTGGATTCGAGACACGGCTGTCGCTTGCCGTCGGCACCCTTCCTTCCCGCATCAATGTCTTTCCCGTGCTGACTCTGATCTCTCGCTCAGTTGTGCGCTCTGAGAGCGTGCGAAATATCATCCGCGAGCGACGCATGCTCGAGCATGTGAACCATCCATTCATTTGCAACTTGCGATACAGCTTTCAAGATATAGAGTACATGTGAGATACAACGCGCTGTACTGCGCACTCAACACCGAGGCTGACCAAGCTGAAACAGGTATCTGGTTGTCGATTTAATGAGCGGTGGCGATTTGCGATTCCACATCTCAAGGAAAACGTTCACCGAGGATGCAGTGCGGTTCTGGATCGGGGAGCTCGGCTGCGCGTTACGCTACATTCACGGCCAAGGCATCATACACCGAGACGTCAAGCCGGACAACGTCCTACTCGACGCAGATGGTCATGTGCATTTGACGGACTTTGTGAGTTTCTGAACCGACACGACAGGTGCTGCTTGATTACTGACATGTGCACAGAACGTTGCGTCTGATGTCATTCCTGGCAAGGTGCTGACAAGCAAGTCGGGCACGTTAGCCTACTTGGCACCAGAAGTCTATGCTGGCAAAGGCTACGATGTTCGCGCAGACTGGTGGTCCTTGGGCGTCTTGTTTTACGAGTGTATTTACAACAAGGTTTGTGATATCATTCCCCACAGCCTGTGTTGAGCTTCTTCTTACTCACCTTCACGCAGCGACCTTTCGATGGCAGCTCTGAGAGCACCCTCAGCAACCAGATCCAGTCTGCGAGCCCCAAGTATCCTATCACATCGCCGCCTGTCACTCTTCCGTGTTTATACGCCATCCGCGACGCTCTGGAGCTAAATCCAGACAAACGACTAGGGTGTACCTGGGAGAGCTTTATCAACCACGAGTTTTTCGCCGTGCTTAACTTTGATCACTTGGAGCAGAAGCGAATTGACCCCGTTTTCGTACCGGCCTCGGACAAGACAAATTTCGATGCGACTTATGATCTGGAGGAACTCTTGCTTGAAGAGGCACCTCTCGAAGCCCGAGCTCGCCGCCAAAAGCCACGAGAGCGTCTCAAGGAGGATGCGTCAGACAAGGAGATCAGAGAGGATGAGTTGTATCGCATGATCGAGTCCGACTTCAAGCCCTTCGACTACACCGTCGCGGCGTACAAGAAGTACGAGCTTGCTGTTCTTGCCGGCGCCGGCGCTGGTGCTGGTACTGGTGTAGGTGCTGGTACTGGTGCTGATCTCAATAGGATGGCGGAGCAGGCTGCGATGAACGGGTGCCTGAACGGCGACATGAACCAGGCACAAGCACCTCAAGCCTTGACTACAGACGAAGCGACGCCAGCTGCGATGGCGAATATCAATGGCGGAGCCCAGCAGCAGCTATACCAACCCGCCATGCTACAAAAGACGCCAAGCCGTGAAAATGGACAGGAAACCGTGCAAGGCGCCAGAAGTCGACCTGCTTCTGTGGTACCGCCACCAGCACCACCCATTCCCCAGCATTCTGGAGACTACGCGAACCAGAGAGCGGCACCGCCAACTGCAAAGAGGATCACGAGCCCGGCGGGTGGCGTCCAGGTAACACTCGACGGTGGTGGTAGCTGGTCCGATCTGGCCCGGCAGGACGCCACGCTTCCTACTGATGCAAATGCTGTCGGCGACAAGATCGAAGGCTCAGGCGGCGTTTTTGGCTTCTTGAGTCGCAAGAAAGGCCGAGGCCACAGCCCGAAGCCCAAAGAGCGAGGTGTATTGGGCAAGGAAGGTGCCCGTGTTGTCATTGGCTAGAGACCTCTGCGACGATCCTCAAGAGTTGACTCGAGCGACCCTGGCTGGGAAGTGAGCCAGCTGGACGAACGGCGCCATGCACGGTCCAGAAAGCGCAAGTCGGTTGTTCCTTACTTTAGACTGGCCGCACCACGAACGTTGCCTGAATCTTTCGTGCCTGAATCCCGAAATATGGCGTGTCACTCCGAGGGCCATGAGGCTTGTCAGCCCCCGACACGACACCTCGCAGCCTGCGCAAACCGCCTACTACTTGGGGGATATCGAATCCCTCCGCGGCCCACGTGTGCCAGGCTCCCGTGCCAAAGGAACTCTCCTCCACCACCACGTGCGAAGCAGGACCCGACTCGAAGACATGGCCGGCTGTTTCTCAAACAAAGCAACGACGCTGACGAATTCATGTTCCTCTCCTTCAACCTCGTCGTCAATGGCGTTTCTCCGCCGGCTCGGGGACCAGAAGGCAGATGAGCCCGCGAGGCTTTCCCCCCTTCCTTTTTCTTTTCTCTCCAGAATTGGGGTTTCCGGTATAGACATTAGCACGGCGAGCTTGCCAGTGTACAAACATTTGTTGAAATAATGAGGAGGGCGGATGGTGAAATCGTCCTGTGGAGAACGATAATTCCGCGGCTCGCCTGACCTCGTTATGCTCGAGTCATAAGGGGCGGCCTGCCACAGGACGACGTGCTGGGCGGGTTGGGGGTGTCAGGTGTCGACATGAGCAAGGAGACGATATCTGATCTTAGAAAGCATTAATGATACCTCAACATGCATTGCCAGCCAACTTGCCGTCACTTCGGCTTGTGTCGTATTCGATCTTGGGTCTCGTGAACGGAAAGTTCAACAACCAGCTACTGCTCGGGATTCCTCCCTGTATGCAGATATCTAGGGCCTGTGTGATTTGACGCGCGTAGCAACGATAACGAGATGCAGCCACCATGTTTCGAACGTTCGATACTCTTGGTCTCATCTCGAGTACCAAGTTACATGTTCTTGTTATTTTGTAAATTTGTTATGACCAACAGGACTTGTGTTACTCAATACTGTGACATTGCGCAAAAATCACAAATCACCAAACCCCCATCCCCTGATATCATCAAAGAATGAAAATTTTCCCCGCCACTGTCTCCCACAATCAAAGGAAAAAGAAGAGTAGGGGGGGACGTCCGCCTTCAGACCATGTGAGAATCGAGGCTATCAATTGATGCCGCCTGCCCGTAGCATACCTACCATACCAGTCTCAACCCAATCTCTCAAAAGAAGACCGTTCGCCCCATCCATGTTCCTTCCATCTGTGGTATTCGGTCGGTTCGGGCTCTTCTTGAACCAGGGACCGCCATTTTCATCCAATAAGCAGAAAAAACGCCGTTTCGTCATCAGACCATCATTTGCTTGTTACTGCTCCGCATTACCAAAGGGCCTTTCCGGCTGCCGCTCCTCAATGCTGGCTGGCGTTGACGGGCGCAGGGGGGTCGACACATGCCGCATCCTTGCCCATCCATTTCTGAACCACTTTCTGGAAGTCTGTTTCCGAGACGACGGGACCTTGGCCGGAGCACTTGGCCTTCTTCTGCAACTCGGAGCAAAGATCATCGAGGTCAAATTCGCCGTTCTGAACCTTGGGACAGTTCTGTAGTCGTTCCCTGCAACGTCTTAGTCAGTTACTGCTTTTGGTGGTCACTGGGCATCTTTTCAACTTACCAAACCTTGGTGCAACCGTAGTTTGTTTCGATCTGATCAGGCTTGGCCACCTCATCGTCGGCATTGTTCGCCGCGTCAATCTGATCGATCAAGTTGTTGCTCTTCTTCGAAACAGCCGGGCTTGGGGCCATGTTGTATGGCATGAAGAAATCCGTGTCGAGAGCATCATTAAAGAAACTATCGTCAAACGTTGCCGTAGGAAGCACAGTATTTTGTGTATCGCGGTAATCACCGAAAAGTTGGGGGTCGAATTGACCACCGTTTTGCTGAGCAAGCCAGTCAAAGCTGATGTTGTCAACACTCGCGAAGTGGCCAAAGTTGCTGTTGCTGCTGTTGTTGTTCTGATCTGTGGTCAATGCTGTCTGCTCTTCGCCAATGGTCGTCATGGTTTCAACAGGTTTGAAGCCCATAGGCGACTGGGTGAACGGCTCAGGAGATGTCCCGCATGACGAACTGGGGCCAGCGTTCGACTGCGTTGATGATGATGGAGAGCTGGTAGCGGTGCCATTGTTGAAGCTGTATGGGTTGGAATCAACGCTAGCGCGCGATGTTGACATGGAGCCCCGTGTGATGGCAGGGTTGAAGAAAGACGAAAAGCTGGAAATGTCATCCTTGGGCAGTGCATTGAGATCGGAACCAACGCCAAGAGGACTTTCGCTGCTCGACTTTGATTGAGGCGGGCTCATAGGCTTGCGGGCAGAAGATTGGTGAGGCGAAACCGATGCAGTCGAGTTTTGGGGAGAGGCCTTGGTAGCAGCCGGTGGTCCGGGCAAGACGCCGAACTTGGGGAATTCAAATTGGAAGTTCACATCATTCAAGTTGCCAAGGGCAGGCGCGCCGAAACCAAGACCAGTCGTCTTGTTCTGTGAGAGAGATCGGCTGTTCATGGCGGCGAAGCGATTCTTGTACTCAGCCAACTCAGACGTCATCTTGTCGACTTGGGAGCGAAGTACAGAGTTCTCGTTGTTGGCTGCCTCGGACGCTTTCTGAAGCTCATCGACCTTGTCCTCGAGGTCTTTGAGATGCTTCTCCTTGCGTTCACGGAAGGCTCGCTGGGCAGCTCGGTTTTGAGCCTTTCTCTTCTGTAGACCACCTTGTCAGCAGACGAGCAACGAAATGATTTGATCCACAGCCTATCTTACCGAACTGGGCTCTGAAGTCAGAGGCTTGCGCCCGGGCTTCTTCGCAACCTTCTCCGTGCTCTCACGTCTCTTGGCGTCATTGCCAGGAGATTCGTCGTCGTCGTCGTCATCGTCAGGGTGAGCCCGCTTGTCCGAAGACTCGCCCTCGTTGCCACCTGTCTTGGCCAGGTTAGGCAAGTCGCCAATCATGGAAGCCTGGCTGGTGTCCGCGAATTCAAAGTCGAAGCTCGAGTCGCCAAAGTCATAGTCGTAATTGTCGAGATAGGGAGTATCAGTGGAACGTTTGATTCCGGCACCTTGATTGGGGGATGTTTGAAGAGAGGTGGGTGACTCGGACACGTGTTTGACAACAGGCGAGGGATAAGACGCTTGCTTGTTGGAGTTGAGAGCGGCGAAGAGAAGGCTCTGTTGTTGCGGAGTCAGGAAGAGGTTGTTTGACCCCGCTTGAGCGTTGGTCGAAGCCATCGCGTCTCTTGAGAGGAATGGACGGTGGTGTATAGGCGTGGTAGTGACGGGGGTCAAGTTTTCAATGCAATGCTTGTGCGACGACGCGCAAAGAAGACTGGGCCGTCTGGAGCCAGAAAAGGCAGGACCAAACGGCGACAGAATTGACGATGATCGGGTTGTGTGAAGTGACTCAGTGAGCAGCCACTCAGGTCAATAAAATCGCAGAAACCAGGTGTGATGGAGGTGTCCACAATTGAGATGTGCCGTAGACTTTGACTGTATGGAAGCCCGGCAATTTCTACGATGAGAAATATGCTTGACGGTCGGAATACTTGATGCAAATGTTGGGTGCAAGTCGCGGTTTGGAGAGGTGACGGAGGCAAAGAAGGGTCCAGGTGGGGGGGATGGATATGGATGCCTTTGAGGTGCAGATGTCTGCCTGGGCGCGCGGGAGGACTAAGGGAGGAACGAGGACAGATTTGTCGACCTGCCTCTGGATTCTGCACGTCCAGATTCGACAAGATTCGGCGTACGGTTGGGCTGGTGCTTGGGGGGCCACGGACGAGTTTGGCATGCGACGGCAATGTGGAGGGAGAAAGACGGTGATGTGGGTGGACGGACTGGAATCGCATCGAGAGGAGGGGAAGAAATCCAGACGGGCCCCTTCGACGTCAATTTGTCAGCCTGTGCACTGCCAGGCAAAAATGGAGGGGCAGGGATTTGGGCTGCTTGGGGGAGGAGGTGCTGCTCCCGGAACTGGGCTTGCCTGGGCGGGCGGAGGTGGGAGGGAAGGAGGAAGGGGCAAAGGGGGAAAGAACCTAGGTAACTACTGTACCTGCTACCTAACCAGGATGTGTGGGTAGCGCCATTGGGGATCAAGGGAATCGAGACACGGCAGGCGCGGCCTGTTCGGCACCTGCCAGGATCCAGCCGTCTCCCCAGCCAACTCAAAAGCCAGTCCTGTCCCTGACAACTGTCGAGGGCCCCGTCTCATCAGCTCTCACGTCCCTATCCAACATTCTAGGGGGCGTCTGAGCCCGAATATTTGCCACTTTGCCCTGTCCTCCCCAATGCATCAGCAGCGCACTGAGGAATTGGCTCTGAACCGTCACTGGCAAGCCGCGTCGATCCCAGAGCTCAGGAGCGATCGAACTGTTGAGGTGGAAGCGCAGATAAGGTACTCCATGCCATGGTGGCAAGACACCAGACCTCCCAGACAAAGCAGCTACGGCCGGATTATGCCCCGACCCCGATGGCGGCGACTCCGTTCCGAGTAAAGACGTGGAGATGACTCAGGACCCCATCTCAAGTACCACATGCCTTACCAAACACAGCGTGCTGGAAGCCAGGCCGTTACCGCTCTAGCGTCGTTGCACCTCTCCAGCTGCTGGAGCCAGCCTGCCGATGAGAATCCTGACCATCTGTCATTACGCCCTTCGCTCACACGAAAGTACCCCCCTTAGACCAACGGCGTACTTAGCCTTGCGCATTCGTCATCCTCATCTACCACGTGCTGCACGTCGTGTGCAGACAATGTCACCGTATGGGTTATGCGTCTGGTGACCTGACTGATGAGGAGCCGGAATGCCCCGTTGCGGTGGGGAGATCAGTAGAAATGCAGCCACCGGCTCAAGACGGGATGATTTCCTCGGCATCAGCCGAACCTGAGTCTGTCGAACAGCCAGGCGTATCGACATCATAAATCCATCGGCATCGAAACGGTATGTTCTCACCAACGTGTAAAGCTGACATCAAGACTCACTCGATGCATTCTTGAAACACAATGGAGCTCCTTGCTTGGTCAATAGCTCCAGGTAGCCAGTATCCCATAGGCCTAGCTAGGCTGTTGTTCTAGCCGAGTAGCGAACAGCTTAATCCCGATGTCTCCGTTGCCGTTACCGCCGTGATCCTTCTAAGGCTTGCGCCAGAGTAACGTATTTCCCCGATCAAACGACGGGTTGAACGGACTGCGACCCGGCGAATGGCGCAACCCCTTGCATGGACGCGACACCCCGCACACGTGATCTACCAACAGCTTGACCTCTTCTGTGGTGACCAGTCATCCCTACAAAACTGGTGCTATCCGGGTCCCTCCGGGGCAAGATCTCAGCCTCCACCAAATGCGCCCTTGACTACACGCGGTATAAGCTACCTAATTGGGTAGGGATGGCGGTGAATCGTTACATATATACTCGTCGTTTCGATAGAGCAAGGCAAAATATACCCAGCTGCCAGGCCTTACAATTTATCTTAACTAGTGTGGAGGGGAAGGTTTACACGTCGTTGCGTGCCCGGCGGATCGTATATACACTCATTTACAATCTAATTCTTTTCAAGCGACACTGCGATCTAGGCTGGCCGTAAGTTTCAAGGCATGTCCACGGACCACCAGACAGGGGGATATAGGTTCATCCCCTACCGGTTTTCCGACCACCACAGTTTGAGACGTCAATTAGAGATGACGTCGTACTATAACAGCTATCAAACACCTCTTCCACCAAGAGTCAGTTGGTCAGCAATCTTCGACGTCGGAATCCGAGTTCAGACCGTACGATAAAGACCGTCCCTCATATAACAGGACGGCAGAGCAAGAGAAGCTTTGTCAACGTTGCGAAATGGTTACCGTGTTGCTGTATTTTAACGGGGCTGGCTGAGTTGCTTTGTTTCTACATTAAGCTGTTGGGGTTTCCCATGCTAGTTTCAGTGTCTTCTCATCTAGGGAGCTTAGTGAAACCTGCAAACCCCCAAGCTTGACTGCGACTATGATAAGCACCCACCATGTCGTACGAGTGGGCAGGAACGGCGACGCGCAGTATGGCACGTTGAAAGTCGCCTGGTGCCCCATCGATAGTGATGTCGACCAGAAAGTTCAGGTGACATCCAAGGCGGGTCAAGCTCGTGGTCTACGTGGCCTGGCTCAACATGAATTGGGATTGTGGTCGTGTCTTGGCCCAGTAGGCGTCCCGTCTACATGCGCTCCAGGGTAAGTGCGAAAAGGATTGAATTAGGTAGGCACTTGCCAATATCTTGCGTACTCATGTGTTCTGTACGGCACTGACCGAAGCGTGGTGGTTGATTGTTCGCGACCTGGGATCAAACGGCTCGGAAGCTCCAGCTGCGGACGGGGCGCTAGCTGGGTTGGTCTAGCGCCATTGGTGGCTGGAAACCAGACAACCCCGCTTGGTTCTCTCTGGAGGTCACGTCAGGGGACCAGAGCCTCAAGCACATTCTATTGGAAGTGCATGACAGCAAAACAATCGCCGGGCGAGCTCACGGAAACCAAACCAAAAGCTTTTGTTACCCTTGTGAACCTTCTCGAAGAGCTAGCTCGCAGTGTGAACACCATGGATCTCGCGTACGACCAGATCAATCAGGATGCTTATCCGAAGGATGACGACAAGAAGGACGGCGACAAGAATGATGGCAAGCCCGAAGTGAGCCTGAACGACGACATTCAGGAAGCTTACAAAGCTCTCGCCAACAGCCCATGGGGCGTTAAGCTAGGCGGTTTCCTTGGGAACGCTGTCAAACAGGTGCGCAACCTCCCCATCTTCCAACGTCCCTCGCCGAAGGAGGGCCCGAGGATTCATGATCTGACGCGGGAGACCAGGGCCAGTCAGTGTACCGCGAGGCTTCGAAAGAGGTTACTGAGCTGGGACAAGATGCTGCAAAGGGCCTCAGCGGACTCCAGAGCTCCATTATCAGCCAGACACGGGCCCTCACTCTCGACACGACGACGACACCGCAGGAGGGGGAATCATCTGGGATCAAGACAAAGGAGGGCGACGACAAGGGAGAAGCGACACCTACCAAGGCCCGCGCCTCGACATCAGAAGATACGCTGAGCAACTCCGAGACGTACCTGTCGAAGATTCGCGCCGAGGCTGCCAAGAGGTTGAAGGATCTGCAGAAGGCCGAGGATGCCGCCGACGAGGCGCTGCTTCGTTTCGGCACCAACATCTCCAATTTCCTCAAGGATGCCGTCAGTATAGCACCGCCCACGGAAGCAAGCAGCCAGAGCAACACGGTTCTCTTTGAGAGCAAGGACGCGCAAGGGAAGCGTGTCATCCACACCTCGCGCCAGGACGCACAGCTGCACGCTGTCCACACAAGCCCCGAGAGCTTCGCTAAGGATCCCGCCACGGAGGAGTTTAAGACTTGGGCGAAGACATTTGACGCCGAGAAGAAGACGGCAGACATTGCGGAGGATCTTTCCAAGTATCCCGAGCTCCGTTCTACGATGGAGAAGCTGGTGCCGGATCAAGTGCCCTATGCCGAGTTTTGGCAGCGGTACTACTTCCTGCGTCACGGTCTCGATGCTGCCGAGACAAGGCGGCGAGATCTTCTCAAGGGTAAGTTGGATACTATCTAAGAGGCTATGGATTTATGGCTAACAGAGCGTGATCAGCCGCGTCCGCCGAAGACGAGGTCGGCTGGGACGACGACTCGGATGACGAGTCTCCCCCGGCCAAAGCAGAGCAGGAGAAGTCTGAAAAGGCCGAGGAGAAGCCCAAGATCGCGAGACCAGCCTCTGTGGAGTCTTCGACCACCATTCACCCGTCCACAGCCGCTTCCACCCTTAAGCCCGCACCCGAGTCGCGTACGTCGAACGACGCGAAGTCCCAGGCCGATAGCGAGGCGAGCTACGATGTTGTGGGTGCCCGTTCAGGCGTTGCCAGCCAGGCGCCCAGCAGCCCGAAGGACTCTCGCAAGGGCGACGACAGCGACGAGGATTGGGAATAAAATGCGTGATCGAAGTTTTGGGTTCTGGCGTTCCGGAGAGGCGGGTGATTTCAGGGGTTTCGTTTTTGACGGCCGTTCAGGGCGGCAGCTTGTGAATACGTGGGTTGTTTCCTCGCTCGGGACGCACTCGGTCCATACTCCCAGTTCTTGGTCAAAATCATTCGCTGTTTGTTGTTTCATGCTTCCTGTCTCGTCTACCTCTTCCTCGACACCGTGGTAAAGCCATCCTCGTCCACCTCTGGTGCGGGCTTCTCCTTAGGAACCTGTACCAGCTGGGGCGCCTCATCCATGTTGACGTCTTCGTCGTCGTCGGAGTAGTCGTCGCTGTCGTCATCATCGACCTCCTGGTTGGGACTCTCTCCTTGGGCGACCTGGACCTTCTTGCCCTTCTTGCTCTCCCACTTGCGTTGCAGCTCGATGAGATCGTCAAACTTGCCCTTGGCGCAGTCGGTGCGGAACTTGATGATGGCCTGGGCGACATCAAAGCCGGACTCGTCGTCAATGTTGACCTCAAACTCGTCGCACATGACCTGAAGGAGAAACTCCTCCACGTATTCAACATCGGGCTCCTCCTCGGCGGCAGCCGCTGCGTCCTTGGGGGTCGCAACGCCGTTGACAACCTTTTCAAACGGCGCAAACAGATCGACGACGGCACCGGCGAACCAGTCGCGCTTGTCGGAAGAGGCCTCGCCGCCCCAGTTGTTCTGGACGGACAAGGTGAGGGCGGGCCACGTGTGGAGGGAAAGGGCGACGGCTTGTTCAAAGTTGTTTTGCGCGGCGGCTGTTCATATTGGTCAGAGATTGGTATTACAAAGATGAACTGTGAAGAGAATGAAATACCTGCGGTCAAAGCCGCCGGGGCACCGTTCGAAGCCATGACTACTCTTTGCGATGGTCGGCCGAGTGGTCAGTCTATGTGTTGGAGGGGCATTATGCACGAGGAGGGGTGACATTTCGTCGCTGTCAGATAGGAAATCTTTTCTGCGTGCAGCGATGCGTGCGGGCGCTGGATAGCACTGTGATTTGTGCACAGTACGGCTGAGTGCGGTGGGGGGGACCTTCCTCAGGCCAAGACAGGGACTCCCTTTCCCCGCAAACGGATTCGGCTCCAGGGGAAAGGGCCACTGGCTGCGGAAGAAGAAGGTGCCCGTGAGTCTTCCCTGCCCGGCTGGGGGCAGGAATCCGTTGGCATGTGCGCCAAGAAATGACATCACTAGACCCTGGGGCCAAGATGGGCTAATAACATGAGGAAATGCCCCTAATGCTGTTGGCTCTCTTTCTGGAGCACGAGGCAACTGGACTTGTCTCAATTCCCATCGCCTGCCCCGAGCTCTGAGCTTACTCCCACGATAAGCTTCAAGGTCTCCAGCTCGGCGCGTCGCCCATGGCAGCTTGGTTCGCCGTATCACAACCTCACACGACAACGCCTCCGACAGCGACACAACCACGAACCAGCCCACGATGAACCCACTCAAGCTCAATACGACATCTGTGTCATTGGCCGTGACGCCGACCGTCGTCTCCACACTCTTGTCCCATGTGTGTAAACCCCCGACTCCAGAGGCTGAATCCCACATCCAAACACTCGGGGTGGACGGTCTAGAATCTCGTCCTTCCTACGAGAGGTCCCACTGACACATCTTGGCTTGCAGTACCTCAACCGTCAGCCTCTCAAACAGAAGCCCACCGCCCACTTGTCCTACGACGAAGGCCTCCACCTCGTCAGGTCCTTTCTCCAGTTTGCCTCTCACCATACCGTGGAAGAACTTCAAGCGTTTACCGCACAATGGGTACCTCATCCGCAATGGGTGCGGGTTGACGAGATCACAATCGCCGACCAGCTACTCGAGAAGGCCGCCGCGTTACTCCAGGCCGAGTTGGGCGAGGAGGGCATTGCGCGAGTCGGCGGCCGTCAGTGGTGGCAATGGAGGAGGCCGAAAAGCCCGCTCAAGGCCGAGTGGATCGAGATGAAAGCGCACTATCAAGAGCGCAAGAAGAATGGAGATCCCGGGAAGCGCGTCATGCTCTACGTCCATGGTGGCGCTTACTTCTTCGGAAGCGTCGACGAGCACAGGTATCAGATGCAGCGTCATGCCCGGAAGCTCAAGGCTCGCGTCTTTGCGCCGAAGTACAGACTGGCGCCGCAGTTCCCTTTTCCCTGTGGGTTGCAGGATTGCATCGCGGCGTATCTCTACCTCCTCACCATCCAGGAGCCGAACACGATCATCCTCGCAGGCGACTCAGCCGGTGGCGGCATGGTCATGTCGATGCTCTGTACCCTGCGTGACCAAGGCATTCCTCTTCCTGCTGGCGCCATCCTCATCAGCCCCTGGGTCGACCTGACACATTCCTTTCCCAGTGTAGCGGGAGATACGCCGTTCGACTATATCCCCACGTCCGGGTTCCACCACAAGCCATCGCGGGCATGGCCACCGCCCAACGAGGACGACCTGGCCATGATGGAAGAACAAGCTGCGAAGACGAAGAAGGGAGTCAAGGGTGCTGCGAAGCCAAGCACGTTAGAAGCCAAACAAGGAAATCCGTTTGAACTGGAGACACCCGAAGGGCATGATGCACAGGGCGACCCGATAGCAAAGCCTGAGGCTCCGCTCGAAGCCGACGTGCCGAAGACCTCAGTCCTGCTCTCCGTCACCATTAACGGAAAGCTCACGACCGTCAAGGATCAGATTCAGGTGAGCTGGGCCTGTATTGACACTAAGAACTGTTTGAATTGACTCTTCTCCAGATGTATACCACCAACCAGCTCATTGACCACCCACTCGTCAGCCCCGTCACGCAACCAACCCTGGGAGGCCTTCCGCCTCTGCTCATTATGGTCGGTGGCGGCGAGGTTCTTCGTGATGAACAAATCTATCTGGCTCACAAGTGTGCCAATCCCACCAAATACGCTCCACCAGACGAAAAGATGAACGATGCGGATCGCGAGAAGCTCAACCGGTACAAGCCAACAGACGTTCAGCTGCAGGTGTGGGATGACCTCTGCCATGTCGCCCCGACTCTCAGTTTCACAAGACCCGCAAAGTACATGTATCGATCCATTGCCCAATTTGGGGCGTGGGCTCTCGCCCGAGCTCAACAAGTCGAGATCGACATTCTGGACGATGATGACATCTCGGTCATTTCTTCCTCTGGCAGCGATACCGACCAGCCACAGCCAGAGTGGGAAGCTCAGATTGAGTCTGCAGCTGCGTGCAACAACCCCCTTAAAGCCCAGATTGGGAAGGCCGGAGACACTCTGCCTCCTTTCAAAGGGCACATGATTAGGCAAAGAGTTACGCGACACGGAGGCGTGTATAACCTGGAGGCGCCTTCCGAGCTCGCCAGCTGTACAATGGACAAGAGGGACATTGGGGTCGCCAAGGAGATCCCTGTCCGGAGATGGCTCGAGACGAAGGCGCGGTGGGACAGCAGGTATTCGAGCGCGAAAACCAAAGTGCATCAACAGATTGTCAAGGATATCGCGTCCGGCTTCGTCGGTTGCGATGGCGAAACCCCTCCACCAACCGCCTTGGCAGGTCGTAGGAAGGTTTCCGCAGAGCAGGTCGACAATAAGAAGAAGAGAAGTCTTGGTCTCGCATTGTGGTCGCTTTGGGGCTCAAAGCATGACGAAATGACAGTGGAGAGGGAGCAAAAGGCTGACCAGCGGGACGCGGTGGAGCAAACGACCGCAACACAGGCTGATCGCGGCGTGCCAATGCCGTCGAATGTCGACGGCGAGGCTGATGATGCTACACTGGCACCGCCTACTTCACCAGGTCGCCCAAGAAGCAGGAGTCGTACTGTTGTCGACGAACACCAAACCTCACAGCAAAGTGAGCTCGACGACAGGGTTGCACCGGTCGACGCACTCATCGAGCTAAGGCGAGAGGCGGGGAAGAACCAGCGGGAGGAAGCGGTTGTTCGCGGGAACGACGCTGGATCTCCTGGCATGCTTAGTCCCACGCATGTTCCAAGCACCGTGGTCGCTGGCAAGCGGCCCTTTATCGATGGATATGCAATGCCCTTCAGCCTCGGGAAAGATGCGGACACTGCTAGCATGTTGACGCTCCAGTCCACAGCAGCTGGGCCGAACGTCAGGCCGATGAGTCCTCTCCGAACCATGAGCAACGGGACTGACGTTTCGGATGCGGCGCAGAACGCTGAAACAAGTGCAGCAGTCAAGAGATTGCCGTTCCGCCTGGGCCACGACGCAGAGACAGCGAGTATGATGACTTTGCAGTCGACGGCGCCGGCTCCTGACGCGCGATCCGTCAGCCCAATACCGCCTACAAGTGCTGCCGATGCTGGCACAAGGCCGGAGCCCGAGGTGGAAGTCGCAGGCAAGCGGCCCTTTGTAAATGGACTGGCTGTGCCTTTCTCATTGGGTAAGGAGGCCGACACGGCGAGCATGATGACTCTACAGTCCACGGCACCTGTCCAAGATGTGCGCTCTGCTGATCCCATGCCTCCTGCGGCAGACAAGGGCACGAACTCACGGCCTGTCTCGGAGCATCTCGATGCTGCCACGCCCATGGCGGCAGGTCCTGCATCTGCTTATGCCACGCCCATGGTAGAGTTGGGCAGGCCGCAGATGGAGAGGGATATGTTTGTGACAGCCGCCGAGGATTTGCCCATGGCAGCTTCTGCGGGTAGGTGATATAAGACCTAGACAAAGACTGGCGCAAAGCCAAAGAAGAGTAATAAGTAATATTTAGGTATTTTTCGCTTGTCTAGGATCCTGACTTGTGCTACCGCCGTACCTTATCATGACGCTTTCAAGCTGTAGGGTGCTCCCGATGTACATCCTCGACCTCGGTCTACGTGTTGCACTCAATGTGAACGGTCAGCAAGAGTTCATGTTGTACATGTTGATACATTTCTCCAAAAGGGTATACAGCTCTTCCAGTAGAGCCGAGCTCGCGACCAACGCGGTGTTCCGCAGCGTCGCCCATGCTAGTCTGTGCCTCCCTCTTCGTCGGGATGACCGCGGACTTTGTGTGTATAATTTTACATCATCGTCTCTCCAACACCTGAATTATGCTGCAAATCACCCCTATGTCCTGCCGTTCTGCAGCTTCCAGCTCTCCAGGTACGCCGCCGGGTTCCTCGGGCCCTCAGCAGTGTCGTACTGTCCGCGGACCTTCCTAATCGTGTTCCCCACAAACGGGGTAAGCTGTCACACTCGTCAGTCTCGTATTCTCACAGCCGCGCTCGCTCGCAGCGAAGTTGCCCCCTTGTTTCGGCAAGATCGCCCGCGCCGGTCGTGGTCTCGGGGTGAGGGGCCGGCAAAGAGGGAGGAAGGGGCCAGGCGCACCTTGAAATCGGCCTCGAACAGCCTCTCGGGCACGGCGAAGGTGCGGACCTTGGCCCAGTCGATCCTGTAGCCTCCGTAGCGGGTGTGGCTGCCCATGGAGCCGGTGCGGTTGCCCTTGTAGAAGCCCTTGTTGACGTCCTTGGTCGTGAGGCGGAGGTGGCGGTAGCCGAGGACGCGGAGGGAGGCTGTGGGCTGCATGATCGGTTGGGCGGCGGGTGGTGACCCCTTTTTTGTGGTTGATGGCGATGGGGAGTTCGTGTACGGATATGCGCGCGGCTTGCGGTCGTTGATGCGAGGGGAGATCGTGTAGGGGCGGGTTTCGTTGGGTGTCAAAGTTGGTACGTGGTTTGATGCTCGGATTGAGGCTCTGGGAAATTTTGGGGATGCGCTGCTTCGGGTGGGTCTAGCGGTCTGTGCACGGACCATGTCGACGTGCGCCCATCGGAGAGCACTGCGACTCCATGGCTTTGCACACACTGCTTGAGACGGTAACATTGCTGTCCTTACTTACCTACCTAGAGATGGTAGCATCAATTGAACAGACTGCCGGCATGAATAGAAAGTGGCTCGAGGAAGAGTGAAGCTGAGTTCGACCACCCGCGATCGCGAGGAGCTCGTAAAGTCGCCCGAACTGGAGAAACTCAATAGCTTCACCTTGGTAGCCTTCAGCAGACGGAACCACGCGTTCTTCGAAACCTCGAGCAACTCATGTGGTACATTTTGTTACTTAATTACAGCTGCTACCGAATACTCGCCATTTTTTGTTGTCCTCGAGATTGCCTCGCTCTCACAACAAGCACTCTCTGTCCGCCGACTCCGCTCTCCAGCTCACGAGGTTCCCTTCGTGGTAACACCATCTTGCGTTGACTGCTCTGTCTCCTTCTTCGTCCTTGTCAGAACCTCTCTCAGCGTCCTGCTCTTCTTCTTCTTCTCGAACAACGGCTTGTGTTCCGTGTGGATGCTGTGGTCGTGCTCATAGTCGACGTGGACAAAGGCCCGCTCAACGTCGCCTAGACCTGCAAACCGAAAGTCAGCAACCGGCGATGAGGCGCGTGCCAGAAGAAACAGCGTCATCGGACTCACCTTCGACCTTGCGCTGCAATTCTTGCGCCACATCGTGCGAGATTCGAAGTGGCGTGTCCTCGTCCATGACTACGTCAATCTCCACGTAATACCGCTGTCCGGCGTGATAGGCACGGCACTGCTTGTACGTCAGAATTTGGCCACTGGCCTTACTACTCGGATGAGCGCTTACGGTGTCGACCTTGACGATGCGCTCGTCGTGGTTCATGGACATGTAGACTAGCTTGGAGAGGAAGGCCCTCGGCGCCGACTTGCCGACGAGAAGCCACACTTGCTCAAACGCGTTTGAGACCCAGGAGAAGAGAATGAGGAGCGCGATGAGGATGGCGCCGAGCGGGTCGAGGTACCACACGAACCTGTTGCCCACGATAGCCATGATGAGACCGAAGCTGTTGACGGCAATGTCGTTGCGGTGGTCGATCTGCTGAACGTCAGCAACACAGCACCACCCGTCGGCGTTTGGTGAGACTCGGGGCGCGGGAGACGCACGTAGAACACGTGAACAGAGGGGTATTTCCTGTACGCGAGGCAGTAGAACATGAGGCTGCCCTTGGTGAAGATGGCAACACCGATGAGGATGATGGGGACTAGGTGCAGGGCTTCTGAATCGCTCTCGCCCTCGGCCAGGCGTCGCCCGGATTCGATCTATTTGGCGAGTCAACATTTTCAACAGCATCAAGCACTTCGCAGGCCTGATGCGACGTACCAAAAGCTGCACCGCGACAGTTGTCATCAAGCAGCAGAAGAGGATGATGCCGATGGTCTCGATCCTGGTTCGTCCCTGTTGCGGAGTGAGCATGAATGACCTCGCTTCAGGTTCGCGCCACATACCACGGGGTATTTGTACACACTCGGACGGACGGCCAAGGCCGAGGTGACGAGCATCACAAGGGATGACACAAAGTCCATCTGACACGACCTGTTAGCTGCGAGTGTTTATTCTAAACGGGACAGGCGGGACTCACAAAGGCGTCGGTGGCCGTTGCAAAAAGCTATCAAACAATGAGTCGTGTACCAGCAAGACTACATCGAAATAGGATCATACCGCAAGCGATCCAGTTGAGACGGCTGCATACAGCTGGATGACGAAGAGGAGAAAGTTGAGAACAAACGAGGCCCAGATGGCGAACTGGATCTTGGGTTGATTCTTCTCATCTTCCTCGACCTTGAGACGTTCCTCGTCATCGGCTCCGAGGAACTGGTCGATGAGCTCGTTCTGGCGCGTGTAGAACTTTGTGAGCTTTCGCTTGTTCCCCTTGGGGTGGTCTATGGCCATTTGTTTCTTGTTGACATTATCGCGCCGGTGGCGGCCAAAGTCCATAGGGTCAGGGCGGTTAATCATACCCGCCGTGGATGATTGGACGGTGGAGACGTCAGCATCGCCCACGATCGCGGGGGTGATCTTGTCGTCGGATGCTGTCGCCAGTGCTGGGATGATAGCCTCATCTGGGGCAGAGCCGCCTTCACCATGATCAGTACATGGCCGCCGTATCTGCGTTTGTGGCTATGCTGGGGCTGCAATGGGTACCAAGAGGCGATCGGCAAAGGAGAAAGTTGGGGAGCCGGTGATCTCGAGTGCGAGACGGCAAGCAGAAGCGAGGCTCAGACGACAGGGCAAGACGAACCTGATGGCCGGACAGGGTTGCTCTCAGGCTGTGCTGAGGACGACATGGTAGAGATATGAGACAATGCTTACGAGTCGTCGAAGTGGCTGTGGGTTGGTGCGTGTGATAATGCTAGGGAAAGAAAGGTCTGGGGAGATACATTTCACACGCTTCAACAGCAGCAATGATATATCAGACACACAGCATACACAAGCACAGCAAAAGGCCTCCAGCCATCTCGCTTCGCCTGTTCGGAGAATTTGTTCCAGTGTGGTGAGCTTGAGGCACTCCTAGCAATGCGACATGCTGGATTCAAGGAGGTTCAACACATACAAATCTCCGAACAAGGGGGCCTCGGGAGGGGCACCTCAGGGCTGAAGCACGGAATCCAGGTTTGCCCTTTCATCCCAAGATGGGATTTTAGTCTTCGGATTCAATGCTCCTCGGCCAAACCCCACCAAGAACCGCAATGGCCCTCACATGGCGACCATGCCGTCCGACGTCAAGTTCTGTCGTCCCAGGGTCGAGGCGCGAGGAGTGGTTGGAGTCAGGGGACTGGGCTTCTATTTCCGGTAAGGACCAAGTGTAACCGACTGAGGCAAGCCGTGTCGAGACTATCCCTCTCAGGGATTAGCGCGAGGCCCAAGACCTCGTCCCGTCTTCCCCCAGAGACGGAGATAATAGACCCCAGCTTTCTTCCTCTTGTCGTACTTGGCATCAGGTCCTGGGCCTCCTGTCTGCTGGCTCCTGGCTCGCCACAAGGCATGGATGACGACGGCGATCAGGGATTGGGCCCACGTCCGATGCCCATGCAGCGCCCAGTGACTGGTGCACCATTCGTTTCAAAACTGTGCCAGAGGCTCAAGAGCCGCGAATGCCTTCACTCGATGGAACAGAAAGTGATCGATAACCGTCAGCTATACCCATCCCACACCTTACTCGAGCAGCTGAAAATGAGCAAAAGGAAAAGTAAACATTCGACGTTCGTACTGCCTAAGTTTTCAGTCATCCGCATGAGGTACCAACGAGAAGAATGGCTAGTCACGAAAGACCTGATGCGACCGCAACACAACCATCAATGTGTCGCCGCCCTGCCCTCATCTATCGGAACTCGGCTAGCAGACGAAATTGATCCTTCATCCAATATGGCGATTGCGGACCATAGTCGCAGGCCCAAACTCTGTCCGTTCCCTGTGGTTGACCTGAAGGTTCACCAGATGGTTTTCTTATCATACGTCTTGGCAATACTGTGACCGTCGCAGCTATGACAGGGCAACCATTAGAAGAAGATCCCTTCTGTCGGCCTCTTGGCATGGGTTTCGTTCTGCAAGATTTCCAGCGACCAGCTGTCTCGGCCACTGCACTGCCCTGATGCCATCTCAACCCAAAGCCTCTCCCCGCCCCCAGACAACCCGCATCCGCACCCGCACCCGCATGCCCACACAGCCCTGAACCCCTTGCTGAGCCTTGGCTGATGATGTTTACGCTGCACAGCTTCCCTCCTAGCTCGTCTCATGAATTCACAACTGCCGGGCTTTGGCGGACGCATGCTGCATTAGTGTTGAAACGAGCCGTTGGCTCTGACCAGAATTGTGCTGGCATATTGCGGCAATCTGTCCAAGATCTCCGGTTTCACACCTTTATTTGAAATAGGCGTCTTGCTGCGGCGAGTTGATCGCTTCACGCCGAAAGGCTCTTCCCTTGAGGCCCCCTGGTCCCTTTTCGTCGACCGGGGCCCTTGCATCGTTCCGACTCTGGACCCCTGGCCCCCCGTTCTTTTCCTCCGTTTGGCGAGGCCTCGACCCCCAGCAGCGTGCCATGCTCTATTTTGGGTGATACTGTCCTTCGTTTTTCTCGAATCGGACTGGACCCAAGCCCATATCCGGCAAAACATGCTTAGACGGACAGTCTCAACTTCGAATTGATCTTCACGATACCTGCCAAGCACTAGTATGGTAGGCCTATATGCCAAGAGTCGGCTCTTCCTTCTCGCTGTTCGATGAGCTATGCTACGGTCTCTGTTGTCTCCATGCCCCGCTGCAGGCTTGGCATCATACTGCCACCGTTCTGTGTCATGTCAAGCCGATGATCCGTTGCTTCTACGTGAGAACGGACGCGTCAATACTTGCCGTTCCGGTCCGTGACCTTGCACTTCGTTGCGGCTCGAGTTCGTCTAGGCCTACTAAAGCTGGCGACTGGCCGTGACCAGAACAAACTCCATCCTTGGGAAGGTCTCGCTAGGTCTTGACTGTTGCCCCATTTCCTTTCCTCTTGGCCTCGTTTCTTTCCTTTCAGGACTCGGCATCTTCTGATTTCGTTGCAGAGTCATTTTCGTCTGTTGTTCGTGTGTTGAAGCTGCGGGACAGCTTCGTTCGTCCCTTTCATTCCCTCCATTTTGTTCACTTTTTGGAATTACGAGTACCGTACGCGCCCTGGATAATTTGGCAGCTCATACTCAACTTGTATTCTTCGCTTCACTTCTTGGCTCTCATTTTTCAATTTCTTTTCTCTGTGCACGAACCTAGGCTGCAGAATGGACCCCCTTCCGAATGCGAAGCCTCAGTGCGGTGGAGGCCAAGAGCCAGGGGACTATGACCTGCCCCTTCACGTTGCGGCCCTATGTAAGTCAACAGCAGAGCGCACCATGAGAAAATGATTGCTAATACGGTGTAGTCTTGGTGTTGGCGGCGTCAATTTTTGGTAAGGAGCTGTTCTCACCGATCAGTCTCACATCTACATGAGCTAACCATCTCAGGTGCCGGCTTCCCTGTCGTGGCTAAGAAGGTCAAGTGGCTCAAGGTCCCTCCCAAGGTTTTCTTTGCTTGCAAACATTTTGGTACCGGCGTTTTGGTTGCCACGGCGTTTGTTCATGTAAGTCATTCAGGCCCTCACAAGCATGCTCGCTCCGTCTCACGCTTCGCTTCCAGCTCTTGCCCACAGCTTTCGCAAGCCTGACGGATCCGTGTCTGCCCGACCTCTTCACCAGCCAATACCCGGCCATGCCCGGTGTCATCATGATGGCTGCCATGTTCGCACTCTTCACGGTCGAGATGTACCTCCACGCCAAGACCGGCGGTCACTCCCACGGCGGCCCAACCGGCGACGTGACCGCTCACCGCCCGCGTCCCACGGCAGTCCAGCAACAGCAGCCTCCCGTCCGCCCGGCCCGCCCGTTCCGCAACACCTTCGATGCCGATGACGAAGAGAGCCTGTACTTTGAGAAGAAGGTCGCCATGGCTACATACAGCCAGGAGAAAGACGAGCGTTACCCTTATGTCAACGACCCTTTCCGCGATCCCAACAACGTTGTTGCCCCGCCTCCGGACTCGGAGATGCCCCCTTGGTTCGTCGTGTTCTACGAGCAGTATGTCCGCCAGCGCCTCGAGATGATGAACATGATCAATGCCTCGCAGGGACAGATGAACGAGAAGAGCGCTGCGAGCCGTGTCTCCGTCGTTCCCGTCCCTGCTATCGAGGGTCACCTTGACGCCGAAGGCCAGATGGTTGACCCTGCCGTGTATCGGAAGATGTCAATGAACATTACGCTACTCGAGGGCGGTATCCTGTTTCACTCCATCTTTGTTGGCATCACCATTTCGCTCACCATTGACGGGTTCATCATCTTGGTTGTCGCCATCATCTTCCACCAGATGTTTGAGGGTCTCGGTCTTGGCTCACGTATCGCGGAGGTGCCCTACCCCCAAGGAAGCGTACGGCCATGGCTACTTGTTTTCGCCTTTGGCACCACGGCACCCATCGGTCAGGCCATCGGTCTGGTGGCGAGGGGCAGCTACGACCCCAACAGTGCTTTTGGCCTCATCATTGTCGGTGTCTTCAATGCGATGTAAGTGGTCCATCCCCAGACTGGTCTCGAAAACCGGGAATTAACACCAGAAATAGTTCTTCTGGTCTCTTGCTCTACGCCGCTCTGGTGGATCTGCTCGCCGAAGACTTCCTGTCGGAGGAGGCTGATCTCGTGATGACCAAGAAGGACAAGAGGGTAGCCTTCGCATGGGTTTTGCTGGGCGGTGAGTCTCTCCTCAAGTTGATCCTTCGACGCACTCGCTGACTCAAGATGTAGCCGCCGGCATGTCCGTTGTCGGTGCTTTTGCGTAGGGCACTCGCTTCGCCACGCCCAGGTTGGATGAGGTTCCACCACTCGCACGAGTCGGCCAGCAGACTCGTCTCAGGGGTCTTTCGACAGCCTTCACACACAAGATGCCGCCTCAGCATCATGATCCCGAATAAACCAGGCCGGGCCTTCAGAGAAGAGACCATCATGCGCAGGAACGTGGCCCGGCCTCGCAACACAAACAATTCCTGTCCCTACCGTCACCAAAGGCCCAGAGCCTTCCCGCACAGAACATTGGACGCTCCAAAGGCAAACTCTGGAATAGTGCCATGCGGCCAGCCAAGAGAGAAAATCACACAAAAATCTACCACACTCGTTTACCCCTTGTCTGCTTTCCTAGGCCAGGGTCTGCGTTTCTAGAGAAGAGAATGAGCCTGGTACGTGCGTGAAACTGACCGGGTGCCAAGAACGAGATGTAGGGTGAGAGAGGAAGCAGGATTCAAGGCGTCGAAAGCATGGAATGCCTCTGATGACACGTACGGCCTAATGATACAACCTCCATGTAAAGGCCGCTCGTAGCCAAGACTGTATGGTGAAGGGTATGGGCAGGGGACGCTGGAATTAATTCGAGATCAATGGCAATAAGTCTGGCAAGCTTTAAGTGTGGTGAGCTGGTGCCACTCGTGCTTGTTGAACCCCGCGCCACCTCCCACGTGCGAGACTGTCGCAATGAAATCTGAAGCAGTCCACAGGGTTTGTTATTTGGAACCCCGGGGACAAGCTAAGACAGGTTTTTCTCGGGCGGAGATCAGAACCGCGACTGTCTCCTTGATTGAAGAAGTGCAGATTTGCATCGTGCCCTCACTAGGAAGAATGCATCACATCTAAAAGTACATCACGAAAGTGAAAATCGAAGTTTATTCTCTACGAGCCATTTCCATATTCAGGAGGAACCTTGGAGATGGGTCCGTTTGAGGAGCACCCGGGGCATCTCA